TTCCTCACTGTTTGTTAGGCTTGGTCTTTTGAAACACACACTGTTTGAAGTAGCATAAGTAATATGAGGAATAATCAATGTAACACAGATGAACATGGTAACAGCCTCTTGAGACAGAATAAACAATTGTGTGCTTGATGTTTGCTTTTATGTTATTGTTGAAATGTAAATTTTTAACAAGCTGCCTGCATGCTAAGTAATGGGTAGTGATATAAAGTAATGGATAGTATATAAAGGGAAAGTTCTTGGGAAGAATAAATGACAAGAGCTGTTTAGCTTTTATATTAAGCTGCTTTCTCTGTAACAGCATTTACTGTTAATCTTGTCTTTTTTTTTTTTTTTTTTTCACTAACAGGCCTTTTACCATGAACAACTCAACTCCTGCTACGGGTATACACAAAAAAAAAAATTATTTCTTTACTATGTCCAAGAGTAGCCATACCAGATTCTGCAGAAGTCTCATTCAGTGTCAGCATTAAGAAACTTTAAAGCCACTAGTTAAAACAGACCAAATATATAATAAAATAGACCATGTTTCAGTAATCATGATAAAGCAAGTAGCCTTCTGCAGCTGTTCTTGAGGACTAACAGAGTCAAAGGTGAGTATCCTAGACCAGTCTCAGTTTGGTGGAACGAAAGACACGTTGTTTGCTTTCCTGATAAAGAGCTAAGGCGATTTCTCGCAGAAAGGGGTGGTTCCTGTTTCCTACTCTGCTCTTAGAGCCTCTTAAGCAGCAAATAGTCCTGTAATTTATTTTGTAGGTGCTTTTCTGCTAATTTGTCCCCGAACCATCTCTCTATGGAGTTACATGAGTGGCAGTTTTGGCAAGGAAACAGTAGGAAAAAGAAAATTTTTTTAATCAGGTGGGTTTGTTGATCTGGTTTGCCACATAAGTGAAAATATTATTCTTCAGCACAGTGGTTTTGGGGAGGTGGCAGAATTAGTAGACAGAGGCAGAGTAAGGAAACTGACTGTTTACACAATATGGAGACTTAATGTGTAAACTCTACCATGTTCTTTTTTTTTTTTTTTTTCCCAAACATGTTAGCTCATGTTAGCTACCATGTTAGCTACCAGGTCAAAAATTAGGCTGTGCCCCACTCCTGTAGGTTGTCCAAGAACTTTGTGGTTACATACTGAATTAATTCATTTGAAAAGTTGGTATTGAGAGAAACCTGGGACCATTTCCTTTAGTTATGTGCACAGCTCGTGTGGGCTTGAAGTGCTTGTGGCTCATAGCTGCATAAACTTGGTCATCACAAAGGCAATTTTCTGCTTCCAGTGGGGAATAAGCAGGAGGAAGAGACTGAGGAACTAACTTAGGGTCTTATGTTTTGAAAATTTTCACTTCTTTGACTTGCATATCTCAGGTTGTTCCTGATTTGTCTAATTGATTCAGTACGAAGTCCAGAGACCTCTGCTTGACTAGGAGCAGCACTTGCTTATAATTTAGTAATTTAGTAACTTAAGTATATTTCAGGCCTTTGTAGATGTTATTTGTGTGCAGAGAAGCCATCTGTCAAGAAATACAAATCTGTACTGAATCCACATGGCTTTTGTTAGTTACCATTATATCCACTGATAATGCATAGTGACTTCCAGAGGGTCTAAATAATATTAAACTTTAAGATAGAGGTGTCTGGCTTCTAATAAGTCTATAAAATTCTAGTCATTTGATAACTATAACTGACAACTATACTTCATTTTGATGTTATATAATCTCTATTGAGATGCAGCTGTTCAACTAATATAATTGTAGCAGGGTGAGGTTTTTTTTTTATTATTTTAACTTGGGTCATATACTTAAAATGTATTTGGGCTGCTTGATCTGAAATTACCAATTTGGAAAATATGTTTGTAGAATTATGAATCAATAATACATTCAGTATTGAATACATTGATATTGATTGATACAGTGTATTAATTGTAATGATGCAGGCCATGCCCTAATTTTTTCCATGTTTATGAGGCTTCTCATGGCTTTATATTTCTATTTTCTGCTTTCACCTATTTTAGCATAAAATTCTGAAGCGATGATAACAGGCAGTCTTTAAGAAATTATTGAAACCATTTTGAAACTCAAGTGCTAGAGAAAGTAGATGATTAGTTCTCTGCCTCAAGGTTTGTATCAGATTATAGCTGGAGAAAGAATGGCTTAACAGAAGCTCAGACTTTTATACTTGAAAGTGAATACTAGCTTTTACTGATGATGTAGTGACTTAGGTAGTTTTTTAACAGCATCTAGGACCTTAGGTCAGATTCCGATCTAAATCACGTAGAACTAGCATATATATTTTCTAGTGGGTAGATCTTAGTGAGCTGAATAATGGTTTTCATTCTCTGTACACAAGCCAGAGTTGTTCTAGTAAGTGCTTTTCACTTTGGCTGGATAGCCCCAGCTGCAAACTTTCTCAGCTCCCACCAAAGACCTTGGAGAAAATAGTCTGGCTGCTGCTGCTTAATTATCTTGTCCCTGGTGATAGTGAGTCACAACCTAGAAGGTGTTGCTTCCATGATAAACCCTCTTGCTCAAATTAAGGCGCAAATTCTTGCTAAGTTTAGTTTGCTGCTTCATTTAGAGTAAAGGACTTAATCATATCTCTTCTGAGCCCGAAAATTAGACTATATGAAACAGGAAAAGTCATTAGGTTTCTATGGTAATGTATCCTGTTTTAACTTGCTAGTGATACACCTTGGGGTACCTCATCCCCAGCCAGCATGCTATTTGTTCACATTTTTCAAAATGCAAAAGCAGCACCAGCACACGTCTGGTAGAAAAAGTCAGGCATGACAGACTTTTTCTGTAAGGGAGACGGGGAAGGAATCGTCTATGTTACTAAAGAGTGTCACTGTTGGGGGTTTTTACATCGTTCTATTTTAAGGTTTATAAGACTGCCAACAGTTTAAAAAAGAAAAAAAAAGTCTTCATACCGAATGACTTCTGTGAATTGCTTCTCAGGCATAATTAGGCTTTATTATTAACTTACAGAAAAATCTGAAGTTAGTTAGTAAGCGCATACAAAAATTTCTTCCTAATGTTTTGAGATTCTTCTGGGAAAGTTAAACTTGGCGCACGAGGTGTAAAGACTTCGTGGCTGGCTGGAGTAAAGCTTTCTGCAGCATATAAACCAAAAGAGAATACTCTTTCCTCTCATAACTTGAATGATGTGCAGGTAGACTTCAGTACAGTTTCCTTTATACTGAATATGCCATCTTTCCACTGAATTTAGTACATTTTTTTTTCTTTAGGTCTCATAAGCCTCTGTAACTTCTTTTAGACAGTCTATTACTGGATTTAGAGTTCATAGAATCATAGAATGCTTAAGGTTGGAAGGGACCTCTAGAGATCATGTAGTGTAACCTCCCTGGACACGTATGGTCACCTAGAGTACGTGGCACATCCAGGCCGGTTTTGAAAATCTCCAGAGGCGGAGACTCCACAACCTCTCCAGACAGCCTGTTCCAGGGCTCTGTCACCTTCACAGGAAAGAAATTTTTCCTTAAGTTCCTGTGGAACTTTTGGTGCTTCAGTTCCGGCCATTACCTCTAGTTCTGTCGGTGCCCACCACTGAAAAGAGGCCAGCACCGTCCTCTTCACTCCCTCCCTTGAGGTATTTATATACACTGATTAGATCCCCTCTCAGCCTTCTCTTCTCCAGGCTGAACAGGCCCAGCTCCCTCAGCCTCTCCTCGTAGGGCAGATGTTCCAGGCCCCTGATCATCCTTGTGGCCCTG